TTCTACAGCACCAACGTTCGTTGATTTCATTTTGATACCAGAGACTCAACTTCAATACGTCAACATGTTATGAACCTTGAGGCTTAGGATAGTTTTGTGAAGCACAAATGAGCTCCATTACAGTTCATTAGTAATGCGTCTTTCATGGCATTCCAACTCAAAGGCCATGCCTTTGATATACTAATTTTCCTTTGTAGTTTCCAGGACAGTAAAAGATCAGAAATCATAACGATGAGAGGGGATTTAGATTCGTAACAGAAAACATCTTATTCATTGTTCTTTGTCTAATTTTCAAATGCTAGATGCCTGCAATACTGAATTAGCCCAACTACGTGCACAGTTTAAGAATAGTTAGCCTAGCCTAAAATTCTTAGAAGTGACAAGAAGCCACTAAAATAGTGAAACAAAGCTAGCAAAGGCAACACCTTTACAAAAAGGTTAACAAAAATATTGCTAATATAAAGTAAGCCAAGAGTTTGGTGAGATAAGTTCGAAAAAGCCTTAGAATAGGCCTAAAGTATCAGAACTGTAAAGTATTAAAACTGTGTAATCTGTTTTACTAAGTTCCACCCCTACAAATGTGTTTTACTAATTAACTTCTATAAAAGTTAATGTTCATTGTCTAATCCTTTGAAAGAGTTGCACAACTAAATCAGTGGTTGAAAGTTTGCATAATTCTATTGATTAATAACCGTTAAAAGTGTATGATTATGAAGAATCCTATTGTTTAGCATGGCTAATTTCATTGAATGACATTAGAATGACAAAGTAAGGATTGGTTTCCTCAAAGTGAGACAATTAGCTTTAGCATAGTAATAATTAATTACAAAATCAACTGCAATGATGATAATTAATATTAAACGCTATTATAATTTTAGATCATTGATTTTGTAATCAGTAATTATTATTGTTATATTTTATTCTGCATTTTTCTTGCTTGAAAAGATCAAATCTCGAGTGGGTAGATACTTAAACAATTTGCACTTCAATCCATTTTTTTCTTTTGGAGTGGAAATTTGTTTCAATTTTACATCTACATCACCCTTAGCTGTTTAAATACGGGAGATGAATAAACTTTTCTAAACTTCAAATACTTCCTTTGAATATAAATAAATCCTAAGGAGTTTTTGTTACTTAATGTATGGTACGGTCTTTTTCCGAGTTGACAGTCTGAGTGCGTTGTCAGTCCAATTAGTCTAGCCGACTGGCCGAGCCAACCTTCAGGCCAATCATTATGGCCAACCATCCCTGATCAGATTGTAAATGATAAACGACTCATTAAAGTCCCTAATGGAGAATTAAGGTATGATTGGACTGTCATCAGGCCCACAAAAGGTAAAAATCCATTACAACCAGTATAAATAAAGGCATCAGGTATGACTTCAGACCACGATGCAATATATACATGTATTACTTACCGCTCGGTTACATTACTAACGTGAGCGTCGGTCGGAGTGCCTTTGACAGATGTCCGCCCGGCTTGGAGGAGGAGAAGGACAACCACCTGGAGCGCATGGAATAAACCCGCTCGGTCTTCAACCTAGACCATGGATTAGCGTCCGTCCGCCCTAAGGTTCGCCACTCCGATCTCCAACCTGAAGCCCTTTGAACAAGGGTACGTCCGTCCGGTACGTAACGTCCACAACGTTCGTCCCCTCTGTCTTTAGCGTCCAACCAGTCTTCGATACTACCAGGAATGTTTTAAGGGACCGCGACACCCCCAACCAACCGAATCACTTAACCCTGTTAGAAACCTCTTTTATGACGCTATGATGAAGTGTATGAGCAAAAGAATACGGCATTGAAACTCTTAATCCAGCAAATGGCAAGACTCCAACAAACAACTCCAAGAAGCATCAAAGTTAAAATGACGCAACCAGAGCCTAGAATTATCAAAGTGACAAGAAGTCACTAAAATAATGAAAAATAACATAAAGCTATTAAAGGCGTTTGATATATGTAGCGTGCAAAGATTGCATTCCTTAGTGACGCATTAGGCAAAAAGACGAACAAACCAGCCAAAATCTGCTTTGCAAGCACTGAATATCATCAGAGTTAAGAAAATCCTCAACCTTTTCAGAATTGAGTATATTCCCAGTAGACACAAAATTTCCATGCAATATCTTGTGCTCTTTTGGAAGCTTTTTTTAAACAACTGTTACAACTTTATTTTGGTAACTCATCAAATGAAAATTAACATTGGCTACTAAAGTAAAGAAGAACAGAAAACCATGTTTATTTTAATCTTATTCTGAACTTGGAGAACTGTTTCTCACTTCTGTGTCTTCCATATATATATATATATATATATATATATATATATTACTTTTTCAAAGTCCTAAAACTCATTTAAGGGAATAATATCTCTTCTTGCATCAGATCTCACATCCAAGCTAACACTACTTTCACTAACTTCTACTTTTCATGTGAGTTAAACTAAAGACACAAAATAAGAAACTGGAATGCACATTAGTATCAACAAGAAAGTGATCTTTCATATTATATCGAACTATTTACCTGTATAGACAAAATGAAATGAAAAAGTAAGAGGAGAGGTGAGAATTCCATCAAAAGAGTCTCTGTACATGAATAAAGTTAAAATAAATAACACCACCACTTTGCTAAAAAAAAAGATGTGTTTATATGAGCTGGTATTTCTTCACAGCCATAAAATAATTAAAGAGACTTTTTGATGTTGAACTATGTTTTAAGAAGAGAGTGCAATACCTAAAGCCCAAGCATAATGGAGCATTTGATTATGACTTGTGCTGCCTAAAGCAATTGCGTTTTGCCATTTTGACGTCTACCCAATTGTGTTTGTATATATGCATTATAAACATACTTGCATTTTAAAACCTTCAATGATATCTTCAATAATATTATTGTGGTTCCTCCAATTCCATACTTCTGTATCAGATGGAATCATTATGCTTACCTGATGTTCTAAGATTCTGCTAAGATCTGCGATTTTTTAAATAAAAAAACCACAGCATGCTTGCCACGTCCGGATTTGCATTATAGAAAGCAAAAAAATTAGAAAGTGAAAGACGCACTCAGACACTCTTGGATTGTTGCTGTAGTTTGTTGTAGTTGTAGTGGTTGATGTTGTTGATGTCATCATCTTCTGTCTTTTCCCAACTCAAAGGAGAAATAATTGGATCACATAATCACATGGTGGAAAGTGGGGTTAGGATTTAGGACAATTACCCTTAATTATCATCCATATACCTCTCTCAGTTTTCCTTAATTGGGAAAGGATCCTATACCACCATTTGTTTGTTTTTCTATATTCTGTGATACCAGAAATATTGATGATTTAATTGGTTTTCATATATAGTACTGTTTCTCTTAATTATATTAGTAATTACTTTGAATCAAGTAGTTATTATCAGAGATCTTACAATGGATTGTGTATGACTATAATAATATATATATAAATAAATTGATAAAAAAATAGTCTGATAATTTCACATCATAAACCAGCTTATGTTTTTTCTAGTTAAGTTGAAAAGAATATGTTAGTTAGGTACTGCTTATTGATCTTGGTTTTCTTTTGTAATCTGAACTTGTCTTGGCATATCTATTACATATTGATGATTCTTACTAAATTCTGAAGACAGTTTGGAAGGATGTGACAAAACACATACAAGTCTTTTGGTATGATGTTAATAATTTGAATCCATATTTGTTTTTTTGCTGCTTTTCTAGAGGGGAATTATTAATGAACCAATAATTTTTATAATTTATAATATTTTTATCAATAAATATTAGTTGAGAAACTTTTGACGAAGTAAAAAATAAATAAAACTAAGATTCCACTAATTTTTGTTTTTTGAAAAAGAAAAGGACATTTCACACCAATGCAGTAAAAAAAGAGACTCAATATAATGAGATAATATTTTTCAATAACAAGATTAAGAGAATAACAAAAGTACATTTTTATATGTATCAAATATCTTTAATCTGTATTTAAAGTTCAATTTATTTTAACACATTAAATTAAATAATTTTTTTTTCTTTTGATAAACTTTTTTTGATGCATATATCATTTAAGATTCAAAATATACCAATATCTCTAAGAGTTGTGATTATTTATTTACATGGGTTTCCATAATTTTTTTTCTTTCCAATAATAATAATGTGTGTGTGTATATATATATATATATACAAAGAGAAAAAAACAAAACAGAAATAAGCTATTTATTCACTTCAAATAACTATATACATCATTAATACTTAATATATAATGTAAATATTTTATTCCATTTTTTTCTCAAAAGCATGAGTTTTACTTAAACTATAAATTAAACACCAAAAATATGTATATATTATTAAATAAAAGTTTAAAATGAAAGTTAACTTAAATATTAAGTTTTGATTCATTAAAATAATATAGTATAATTAAAAAAATTGTGATGGCACACTGTATAGTCTGCTTCAGCTGGTTTTGGTAATAGTAATACTAATAGGGAAAAGGCAGGCAAGAAACCCTATAAATGCTGGATATTTATAGGGAAGCAAGCACAAACGCGTATGGTTTAAAAGACTTCCAACTAATAATATATATATATATATGAGAGTGTGAAAGTATAATACCTTATTCTTTATAAGGTCTTCACTTCTCGTAACAATGTAATATTTTATATTAGTTGCAAAGACTCAACACTTTATGCACAAATTTACACAAATATTAATTTAAGCTCAAATTCATCAATATATATTTTAAATTCATGATACTTTGAAAAACTAAATGATGAAGTATTAGTATATTTGTGTGTAATAAGCGGGTATGCATGGATTTGATGATTGCATTTCATGAATGCAACCTTCCTTCATGTGTTCCTCATCAAAGGTCTTAACTCGATATGGGACAACCAAGACGAAAAAGGCTATCATATCATGTCTCGGTAGGATAGTATGTGTGTTAGGTCCCACTTACCCAATCAAAAACCAAACCAGGTTGCCATTATTATTTCCGATCCCAAAAAACAAGAGGATAATGAACAAAGATAAAAGCATACTAGGTATATAAAAACAAACTGCCATGATTTCAACCTGGAAACTAATAAATTTACATGTAAGGTAAAAGGAAGAAGAGATCGACAAACAGATAAGCTTAGGATTCCCGAAGCAAACTGACAAAGTCACCGCTCCATCTACGGTCCCGATTGTTTCATAATTGTCAATGGGACCAATCTACGGACCCGATCAATTTATTGGATAACGCATTCAAGACAAATTAATGTTATTGTTATTATCACCCGATGCCATGTCCATCAATGTCTTTCTGTACAATTTTTTTTTTGCCTTAGAATCCACCACACCGCAAGTCAAAGCAAAAGTTTCATTAAGAACACTCAAACACAAATTGAGATTTCATTTCACAACCCTAAATTATACAATTAGCCATGTTTCTTGGTTTTAAAACTAATACTAATAATAATAATACTAGGTACTAACTAGCAATTGCATATCATAACATATATAAAGATTAATTAAGGAGAGAAATATAAAGAGAGAGGAATGAGACAATGGAATGTAGTGTAGGAATATGGATAGGTGATATATAGTGGTTGATTGCGTGAGAGGTAGGTTGGGTTGTGTCATACCCAGAGAGCGCCGACTTGGACGAGTTTAGGAATGAGGTGGCCGGTGACATGGAGGGCGACAAGGGATTCAAGGCCACCGATGCAGGTGCCGCCGATAAATGCTGCAGGGGCGATGGTGTGTGGGAGGGGAAGAGCGGCGATCTCATTATCATCTAATTCGATGACGGTGGGATGAACGCCGATGGTGGCTAAGAGGTTCTTCATGACATGACACATGCAGCAGGAGGATCGGGTGAAGATGATGACCGGATGCTCCGATATGAGGCGTTGGATCCTGGTCTCCGTAGACTCGTCTAGCTCCATGGACAGTGAGGACGAGTTACTCATAGTGGGACTCAGCTCTACCTCGTTTGAACTCACAAATCCTCCTTCTATTCCTTGCATCCCTGTGACTTTCTACAACAAGAGAAGATGAAAGACAGTGTTTGTTTGTGCTGTTATATCTCTGTGAGAAACTCAAAGCATAACAAAGAAAAGAGAAGGCAATTGGAACCGAGTTTGAGGGTCTTTTTATTTTATAAAAATCACACACCCCAAATCGTGCTTCCTTACATCACAAACTACTGTTTTCTCATTTTCTACAATCGCTCCAACCACTTTACTTTTCCCACGCGCTCTCTTTTATTTTTCTTTTATATTCTAATATTTTACTATAAACTGTGAATTTTATTGCTTATCTTATCAATTTTATTCCTGATGAGAAATACATAATAAAGGTAATAAATAAAAATTATAAGAAATTGAAATCAGCATAATTCACATAAACTCAAATCACTACAATTAATATATATATATATATATATAATTGGAAAGTGTACTACAACTAGTTTGTAAAGTGGTCGTCGATTTCATATGTATGTGTTACGCAATTTGATTTGTCAAACAAAGAGATTCGACTTCTTTTTTCTATTAAAATGTACTTATATACCTCTACAAAACCAAGTCACTCATCCTTTTTATTTTTTAGTAGTTGGAACTATTAATGTTTGACAAGATGCACGGCATAGCAATATTCTTGTTAGACATGTGACATGTGTGTTTTTCTTTTAAGTGTGCATTGGAGACATTTAAGTAAGGACTCTTTTTAAAGAACACCATTAAATTATTACTAGTTACTAGATGATTATGTTTCCGAAGTAAATAAGTGGAGGAGCCACCGAGGCGCGCGTGGTAATGCTTTTATCCTTCTGTTTGGGTACACAGCGTATTTTCGGGAGAATCAAAAGTAAATAATCATTTCAATTTTTTTCATCATTTTAATTTTAAAATTAGTTTCATCCTATCTCAATTTCTACTTCATCTCTCATTTTATTATTTTATTTTCTATTAAGGGATTAATGTTACTTTGTCATGTTAAACATCAAATTAGATATAAGAAAACAGTAGGGAAACAGAAATTTGGACTGAGAGAACTAGTGAAAATAATAATATATTAATTAACGAAAAATAGGAGCATGTGAAAAAGAAAAAAACTGTTTTGATCATAGGTTAACTCTTCAACCCATGAAGTTCATTAACATTTATAATTTCTCCTTTTTTTTATGTTACTATCTGACCATATCATATTGCCAATTATATCTACATTATTTTTTATTGATTGTGTGACTAACAGGTTTCCTATATCATTTTTCATTAATTTATTTTATAATTACTTTAGAAGTTATTTTGTACAGAGATTGAGATTTTTTATTCAAAATATTTAAAATTGTTCAGTAGTTCAGACAGATCATTCTACATTATCAAAATTTTTTTTTCTCTTCTCTTTGTCCAAGTCATGGAGACGAGTACTTGTCAAAGATATTCTAATATTTAAATTAGTGATTTTTTTTAACAAAGATGAATAATTAGAGTTAAATTATTTGTGTTTTCTGTCAAATATATATTTATAGATATTATAATAAGCTTATCCGTCTCATTCATTAATCATCCATAAAATGACTTTTATTATTTTTATTAATCCTCAACAATGATTATTATTTTCCTTAATTATTTATTAATAGTAATTATTGTCCAAATTAATTATCAATTAATAAATATGTTATACCGATTGATATTTTCTTACTAGATGGTCGACCCACATGGTCTTTAACTGATCAATCGACCATTTTAATCATTTAAGTACATTTAAAAGAAAACAGGGGACCATACCTTTTGTCTTCTGCATGGCAATACGTTTGAGTTCCTTGAATAAGCGGTGATGTTTATAACTTAACTCTTGTGAATAGAAAAATCCAGAAATATTCCTTATTATCGTGTGTGTAGCAAATAAAATGACTGATTCTTTTAAATATTGTGTTGGTATGTGCTCATGAAAGTCATCTAAACGATTGGAACTAAAAAAATATTATTGTCTAACTCTTTTTGTTCTTATTTAATGTAGTATCTAGATTCATACTCTTATGTCTAGTTATTAATAAATCATTCACATATTATTTTTAAAGAAAATTTACTAGAAATATTCGTCACTTATAATAGCAAGTCAAATTATAAGACAATAATATCAATTTACACTCAAAATCTTAAAATAATATACTTTTTAACTTTTTTCACACGTGTTATTTAATTTTATTATGTTTACTAACTGTGAAACGAAAACTCTCACTTTATTCCCAAACAAATAGATTATAAAGCTAATTATTAAATTAGGCTAATTTAAACAAGTATAATCAAATTAAATATAAGTAATTTAAGTTTACGGTGCATATAGATAAATATTGATTACGCTTATATTATTAAATCTAGTATTGATATCAATAAAATTTTCTATTTGTATCAATTATATATATTTTATGTATGTAAAAATTAAAAAAAACATACTTAGCAATAAAACTATTATTATAATATTAATTATAAGGTTTAATTAAGTTTTAAGTTTTTCATAAATTCAGGTTCAAGTCTCTTATAACAAATTTTATATATTAAGTATTCAAAATATTTGTACTTTTTTAATATGTGATTTGTTATTTTATCACGTCACATCATTTTGTTTGTTTGTCTTCAAATATTAAAAAAATATAAAATTTTATGATTAATATAAAACTAGTTAATATAATGTTATCTTTTACATGATTTATATTAATCATAATATTATTTTATATTAATTATGAAAGTATTTCCACCAAAATAAAATATAAGAAACTAGTTAATACATATTCTCATCACGACGTTGATGGTAAAATTCTAATTAGTAAAAAGTGTTATATTTTCTTTTTAAGATTATAATTTAATTAAAAATGAAAATCATTTCAAATTAGGATCAAGATTAATTGTCTAAGTATATTGTCCAACTTTCAATTCTTTAAATTATTTTTCACTGTGTTAAAGAGGTTACCTATCGTAAAATTAATAAGGAATTTGTTTTTCAAATATTAATTGTATAATAAATATAATCAGTACCTCCTTCTCTTATATATTTTTATAAATTTTAAAATGAACTTTAATTAATAACAATCTAATTATAGTTTAATTGGTGTAATTATACTTTATTTTATGTTACTGAAAATTAATAACTGTGTGATTGTTGGGTACAAACAAAGTCCCATATCGGATAAAATAAGAGATGGACATGAGTTTATATACACATAAGATACCACCATTGATAAGAAGCCTTTTGGAGTGGAACCAAAATCAAATACGTGAAGGCTTGGCTCAAAGCGGACAATATATCTTACCAGTGTGGACGCGTGTTTCACTTGGTCCATTGCCCATGGGATGTGAAGCTCAAATTCAAAGAGCACAAAACCTAATGACAGAAGAAAAAATGAGTCACAGAATGTGGATGGTGATTATATACTCACGCCAGTAAGCGTGATTATTTTGATTCCAAAAAATATAATGACGAGACTGCACATGCAAAATCAAACCACATTCTAAAGCTCATCATGCTGGATTCGTCAAATGCTTTCTATGTACCAAGGTGTTCGTGATTTGATTTTTTATTTTTTTTTTAATAGATTTCACCGTAAAAGTATATTGTGATTCCATTCAAATCAATTTGAAAATAATTTGAAATGTTATTCCTTTCTTTTTAATTAGAACCAATACATTTTTAATTTTTCAATTTTTGTTCAGTCTATTATTACATTTTTAAGACAACACTTTATTGATAGAAAGAAAGAGATATTTAAAATGACTTTAAAATCGGAGTTGATGTTTTTTCTTCTTTTAAATGAAAAAAATATAATTAGTAATTAATTTTATTCGTTAAATCTATTTTATTTGAAAATATTTTTATGATTTTTAACATATCTGTAATTAAAAAAAAAATCTATATATCATAAGAGTTTAAAAGGAGTAACATCATGTATTATGTTTTAAATAGACAAACTCTTACATAAGTGAATGGGTTAATTAATGCTTCAGTGTGCCTTTTCTTTTCCTAATACACAGAGGAGTTTCTTTCCTTTTGCTTTTTTCTTTTTGTTTTTTATTTTCATCTTTTGTTAAGTGAACAATTGTTTTATATATATATATATATATATATATATATATAATTTATTTATTTATTTATTTCATATTCTCAAGTATTCTATTAATTAGTAATCAAGTAATAAATTTTCACTTTCAAACTCATTCATTCAATAAACAACACTTTAATTAATTGTTGTTTAATGTATGGTTGACTTTTTTTAGTCAGATTTACTTATTTTGAAGCTTTTTGATGTTAACAAGTTTGAAACTCATTATTGGATAAGCTCTACACATTGTTTATGCTATTTTTTTTTTTGGATAACAAATTATGTGACTTGTATAATCAATTATCGATTATGTAATTTATTCTATATAAGTAATTATGCCAGCCACATAATTATGATAAACTCTCTTTGCTTCCATACCCTAAAATGGTGATATTGAAATACAATAATCTTTTAATGTGAGAAATACACTAAAATCATCTTCTTAGCTAATATATGGCCGAATTTATATGAACACATACAACAAACCTTCTATAGGTTAGGGATAAAATCATATATGTATCAAAAAGAGATTTTTATGTCAACTTTGTACTTATTTCATTAAACATACCATGTAAAGTGGTTGGAGTACCACAAATATTCCATTGTAGTTATAAAATATCATTTTGATAATAAAAAAACAAAAATCATCTTCTTTAAGATATATTGGAGTTTAAAATTAAAATACGATTAAAATCACTATAGTTTTTCTCAAAAAATTAAATTATCTTTCATTTATATTTTTTCTTTCAAAATCGATCTCATATACTTGTACACCTATTAACTATTTCTTTTTACTCTTTCTTTTATTAATTCAAATAATAATCTCACTTTCAATTTTAAATATTTTTCTATCTTTTCTTTTCCTATCATATCCAAACAAATGTTTGAATCTCTTTAGATGAGTTGATAGAAAGTAAGAGATGAAAGAATGTAAAAAAAATACAATTTTAACTAGTTTGATTTCAAGAAATTTAAAAGAATGGTTAATTTTTATGCAATAAAAATAATGTTCCTATATAATATATTATTTTAATTTAGAAGAAAAATGTTTCAATACATCTAATAGTCTCACACAACTTAAGAGATGGACTCACATATATTAAGAAATAGAACA